AGTGCGAGGGACCAGGGCTAGAAGAGAGGGAGGCGCTTAGAAACTGGGGCAGGGGTCAAAGACAGCTGGAAGGAGTTCCAGAGCCTGAGTGCCATGGGACACACCAGGCCTGCAGTTCTGGGCACGTGGCACATGCTATCCTGGGCCCTGCAGTATGGGGGCCCCGCCCACCAGCTCATACTCAGTAATTCTGGTCCCCAGGGCATACTAAGTATTGCATTTTGTGGGATCCACTGGATTCTGGGAACTCTAATTCCAGGATCAAAGGCAAGCTGAGTGTTGTAATTTGAGGAAACCAGTGCTTGCTGAGTATTTCTATAAGGTCTCAAGGGTTGTGGCTATTTTGCTATGGAGGGAATACAGAGGGTGGAGATTGGAGCAGATTTGGCCTGCTGAATTTGGAGCAAAACCATGGATGCTGCAGTTAGGGGCAATATGGTGGTTTGGGAGAAGATGGTATATATCAGATTTGGGGGTGACAGAAGGGTGGGGTCTGTGGGCCGAGTCTAATCCCATCCCTCCCTCCCCTCCTCACCCTAGCTGGCCAAAGTGACCATCGTGGATCACCACGCAGCCACGGCCTCCTTCATGAAGCACCTGGAGAATGAGCAGAAGGCGAGGGGAGGCTGCCCTGCCGACTGGGCCTGGATCGTGCCCCCTATCTCAGGCAGCCTCACACCTGTCTTCCATCAGGAGATGGTCAACTATGTCCTGTCCCCTGCCTTCCGCTACCAGGTGCCCACCCCACTGGCTCTCGCCTACTATGTCAGCTCTAACTGAGCAGCCCCCAGGGCCCTCCCACCTTCGGTTTTCTTTCCTCACCTCTCCCTCCACTCCCACCCCCCCCATCACTTCCTTGCAGCCAGACCCCTGGAAGGGGAGTGCGACCAAGGGCGTCGGCATCACCAGAAAGAAGACCTTTAAGGAAGTGGCCAAGTAGGTGCTCTAGGAGTCCTGCCCTTCCCCCATACCCAGGGGGACCTCCCCAGCAGTGGTCTGGGCACACCACCTCCACACTTCCACACCAACCCACACCCACCAAGACCGTGCTTGGGCCCCACGCCTGGGATGGCCCTGGCCCTGTACGCCTGGGATTCCCTCACCCAGCCCTCACCCACAGTGCAGTGAAGATCTCTGCCTCACTCATGGGCACCGTGATGGCGAAGCGAGTGAAGGCAACAATTCTGTACGCCTCCGAGACTGGCCGGGCCCAGAGCTACGCGCAGCAGCTAGGGAGGCTCTTCCGGAAGGCTTTCGACCCCCGGGTAGGACTGAGCTCAGAGGGCAGGGTCTGGAAAGCCAGGGGAGGGGGTGTCTCCCCATCTTCAGACACACCCTGGAGGTCAGGAGAGGGTCACAAATCAGGGCCCACAAGGAACCCTAGGATCCTCAGGGATTCAAGGATCAAGTCAGGGTCAGAATCTTGCCCTGCCAGGGAGGGTCAGAGTGAGAAGGACCAGGGCCCAAGTCCCTAAGACATCTGTCTTCTCCTTGCCCACAGGTCCTCTGCATGGATGAGTATGATGTGGTGTCCCTGGAGCATGAGACGCTGGTGTTGGTGGTGACCAGCACATTTGGGAATGGCGATCCGCCCGAGAATGGAGAGGTGAGGCTGCCGGGAAAGGGGCTACTGGAAATGAGGAGAGACTCAAACCTGGAAGCCACACTGCAGGCCATCCTTGTGGCTCCTACACACACACACACACACACACACACACACACACCCTTCTTAACCGTATCCCCAGTCCCCCAGTCATTTCCATCATCAGAGCAAGTGTTTAATACGCAGAAGGCATTTCATTCCTGGAAGCGAAGTGAGAATGAGCTCAGGCTTTGACAAATGGGAAAGACGGTACTTCGAGTGAGATCTAAGCTCTGTCTTCTTAACAAAAAAACAAAAAAAGCACTCCTCAGGTGCCAACAGAGACCAGGTAACTTCACTTTCTGAGCAAATCTTTAAAGAAACAAACTAGAGTCTCACCACTGAGTACGTCCTTGTTAACTATTATCTTTCCCACTTCTGTCTTAGGCTGTCCCCAGCTGCATTTCTGGGGCCCTTCTCTGTTTCTGCTTCTAGTGATAGACGCCTTCTTAGCACTAAGCACCTCCTCAGTCCCCAGAGCAGAGTGCAGATGGAAGCCTTCTCCCCTGCCTTGCCACCCATTTCCGTCCTCATTCTGATCTGCCTTTCAAAGAAAAATACTCACTAACGTTTTTTAGTGTAAAAGGAATATTTACACCCATGTGACCCACAACCCTATCAAGATAGAGAACATTTCCATCACTTGAAAAGTCCCCTTGTCAGTTTCCCGTCAGTCTGCGTCCCAATCTCCCCACCCAAGGCAACCACCGTTCTGGCATCTATCACCCGCCCTGGAACGTCATAGATTGGGGACCACATGGTATTCTGGCCTCTTTCACTCAGCCTGCCTTGGAGGTTCATCTCGCTGTTGAATGATTCAGTGGTTCATTTCTGTCCACGAACCGCACCCAGAGCATGAACATAGTTTATTTCTCCATTCCCCTGCTGACGGACACCTGGGCCGTTTCCAGCGCTTGGCTATTGTGAATAAAGCTGTTATGAACATTCTTGCACAAGGCTTTTGTGGCCTTATGTTTTCATTTCTCTTAGATAAATACCTAGGAGTGGGATTGCTGGGTCAGTGGGTGGATGTATGTTTAACTTTTTTCTAATGAAACTGCCTAACAGCCCAACAGATTGAACTGCACCTTTATGTTCTGTGCATTTCAATGTACGTAAATTTCACCTCAATTTTTTTTTAATGGAGCAAACCTAGGAATTTGCCCCAGAGAAAATGGCATATATTCACTAACAACACAAACAAAAATATTTATAGCAGCATTGTTCATGATACACCCCCACACTGGAAAAGATTCAAACGACTCTCAACTGTAGACTGGATAACACATCATGGTCTATTCAAATGCGATACAGCGATGAGGGTGAACAAATTACAACCACACGCAACGAAACAGATGAATCTCCAATATCACGTAGAGGGAAAGAAGCCAGACACAAAAGAATCAGACCATAGGATGCATTTTGGATCAAGTTCAGAAACAGACAGAACTAACCCGTGGTGTTTTAATCAGGGAAGTGGGTGGTCACCCCAGGGTGGGAGTGGGAGTGACTGGAGGGCGAGGGGAGGGGCCACGAAGGTGACTTCTACGATGCTGGCAATGTTTCTTGATGGGATGCTGATTAAACAGGTAGGTCCAGTTTGTGAAGATCTATAAAGCTGTGCATTTATAACATGTTTATAAAAGCAATTTATTGCTTTTCTGTATGAACATTACACACCAACAAAATGTTCAAAAAGTAAAATTAGGGTACACGCTACTTATGGTAAGCCTGTAGACCTGCCACCTAAATGCATCTACAGTTACCACTGGGATTTTATGGCCTTGCCACGTTTAGATGTTTCCCGTGGAAAGGTTGTTGTAGCATGTAGTGCTGAGCTGTTTCCGTGGCAGCATGTGATGTGGCTCAGCCTTCTAGAAGATGTCAGTGCCACTAGCGACCAGGGCAATGGAGGGAGACTGAGAGCTGTTTCCCATCTATCAAACTGGCTGAGATGCTAAGGACTGGTCACACCCAGTGTTGACAGGAGTGAGGAAAGAGCACCCTCTTCCCTGATGCTGGAGGACGATTTGATGACCCCATCGAGCTTTTATGTCCTCTGACTCAGCGATTCCCTTTCTAAGGACTACCCTACTGAAATACGCAAATGAGGAACCACGCGTGTGAGTGTTTGCGCATTGCGTGTGGATCATCCAGACATCCTGTCAGAGGGAAGTCTTATACATGATGGTTCCTACAAATGAGGGCATCCTATGTAGTCACTCAAAAGAATGAGGTCAGTCCTGGTGTGCTGACCTTGAAGAACATCCAAGATAGGTTATTGACGAACAGCAGGGAAGTATAATATGGTCTCGCTTTTATTTTTAAAAAATAAACTATAAATATAGATATGTATGTAAGTACAATGAAATAAAGGCTAGAAAGTTAAACAGCTGTCCATGGTACACATGCCTTAGGGGATCAAACTGGGGAAGGATAGAGTTTCTCTTTCATTACTTTACCCACTTCTGTAACATTTTCAAAAAGTCAATACCTTTTATTTTTGAAATTTTCAAAAGACAAAAAGGTACAAATAATAATAATAAGGACCAGCCTGGTGCAGGACAAACTCCTATACAGTTTGAAATGAACTAATTACGCCGCCAACACTCCCCTCCCCCCGCCAGAGCTTTGCAGCAGCCCTGATGGAGATGTCGGGCCCCTACAACAGCTCCCCTCGGCCAGAACAACACAAGTGAGTGGGGACAGGAGTTCCGGGGGGAGGGCATCAGGGCGGTGAGGCATTTGGAGACACAAAAGGAAAGGAGGTCTAAAGACCTCTCCCTCTGGAATGCAGGTCATTTTCCCAAAAAGCGGGAGGACAGAAGAGCAGGCGCCTGGGCCCCCAGGACAGCCTTAGGATGCCTCATCCTCTTGACCTGCCCACCCTCAGTCCCCACTTCTGTCAGGGCCGATCAGTCCTGAGGTCTCCTTCAGAGAGAGGAAGGGAAGCAGGGCCTGGAGGCTCAGAGACCCTGGGACACCAGCCCTCAGCCCCAGTCCCAAGCCTGCTCCAGAGAGATAGGCCAGGCCTAAAGGCAGGGTCCCATCCATCCTGCCCAGTGCAGACCCTGAAGCCGTCCCCTGGCTGTGTCTGGGCCTGCACCTTGTCTCCAGATCCCTGTGACACCCTTGTCTTTCTCCTCTCTTGCAGGAGTTACAAAATCCGCTTCAACAGTGTCTCCTGCTCAGACCCACTGGTGTCCTCCTGGCGGCGGAAAAGAAAGGAGTCCAGCAACACAGACAGTGCAGGGGCGCTGGGGACCCTCAGGTCTGGGGGCCGCAGTGAGGGGAGGCGTACTGAGAGGGACAAGCTGTCTGGGCACACAGGCAGGACAAGGGGGATTCCAGTGACGGCTCCCTGCACCCCAGGTTCTGTGTGTTCGGGCTGGGCTCCCGGGCGTACCCCCACTTCTGCGCCTTTGCTCGTGCGGTGGACACACGGCTGGAAGAGCTGGGTGGGGAGCGGCTCCTGCAGCTGGGCCAGGGCGACGAGCTGTGTGGCCAGGAGGAGGCCTTCCGCGGCTGGGCCCAGGCTGCCTTCCAGGTGAGCTCCCCAGGCCTGCCGCGACATCTCACTCCCGCCCTCCTCCAACCCCAATGCTGACTCATGCCAACCTGGGCATCTGCCCCAGAGACCTGCAATACGGAGGACCTCACCAGTGCCCTGATTCACGTGGTTCTCTGGCCCCTTCTATTCCTCTAAAATCCACCTCCATTTTGCCACTGCACAGTCAGCACTTCTGGCTGAGTGGAGAAGGGATCAGGAGAGAGTTAGACCAAGGCAAGGGCTGATGCTGAGGCCGATGCAGAAACTGCAGAGGCCAGACAGGTTTGGGGTGGTGCCTTGACTGGAGGGGATCCTGGCCTAGGGGAGTACAAGGAGGCCCCGGGTCCCAGGGCTGTGACTTTCTAAGCCTGGGCTTCCTCCAGAGCAGCCTCTTCCTGGTCTGGGGATTATGCCTGGAACTGAACAGGGCTCCTACTCCCAGTCCAGCCACTGCTCCAGGGCAGCGCTGGCCTCTCCAGGGTTCCGAGGCTTGAGTTCAAGAGTGATGGCAAGGAGGAAGGCATCTGAGGAGGAGGCATCCTAGGAGGTGTGCTGGGGAGAGCCGGCCAGACAGATGGAGGGTTTGTTGGGGAGGAGAAGAGGAAATGGAAAACAAAACTAAAGAATCCAGACAAAGGGAAGCGACAGGAAGCTGGGAGTGGGACAAGAGAAGGGAAAAGAACAGTGTGAACTAGGGACACCACTTCAGAGGCTCGGGGTTAACCGGAGGAGCAACCAACTAGAAGCAGGAAGGCCCTGAGCTAACCAGGGTGGTAGCAGTAGGGGTAGGAAGGAAGGGAGGGGGCCAAGGAAGGAAGGAAGAGATATAAGACTTCACACACAAAAGAAAGATTAACAGGACTGGTGATACCAGGCAGGAGGAGAAGGAGCAACCAATCATGAGTGAGCCCTAGATTTCAAGCCGGGGACTGGCCAAGCAGTTTGCCAGAATCGCGCCTGAGCAGAGACAAATAGGAGATCCACCCTACCAGGGGTCTTGCCCCAGAAGCTCCCTCCAGCCCCTTATGTGCAGGGCAGGGCAGGAGAGACCAGCCAGAGACCCCCTCGCATGGCCGCCGGAATTCTGTGTCCCACTCCAGGAGCACTTAAGGGCTTCCCATAAAGTATCTCATTTAGCCTTCACCAGACCCTGAAGAGGTATAAAGACGGGGACACGGAGGCAGGTAAGCTGCAAGTACAGGAGTAGAATGTGAACACAGCTCTGAACACGTGGACGTATTCATGGAGCCCTACTGTGTGCCAAGCACTGTGCTCCCTGGGACATGGGATTAACATTCACCAGATTAACAAGCGAGTGGGTGTGATACAGATATATGCAAAGTAAGAGCTAGCCCAGTGGCCAAAGCACGAAATGGGCTGAAGAACCAGGTGCTGGCAGCCTCAGCCTCCGTCTCAGGTCCACTCTCCCTCTGGCCCCTGGGACTGCCCATCCCACAAGTGCCAGCCTCAGATGGTGCCTCCGCTCCAGCAGCCCCAGGAATGGAAGGGGGCAACTGGGAACCCCACCCGCCCAGCTTGGTGGCCCATATCAGCCCCTCTGAGCCCTCCCTGGTGGCCAGAGGTCCTCAGCCCTCACCTCCTTACCGCTCCCAGGCCTCCTGTGAGACATTCTGCGTTGGAAAAGATGCCAAGGCTGCTGCCCAGGACATATTCAGCCCCAGACGGAGTTGGAAACGCCAGCGGTACCGACTGAGTGTCCAGGCCGAGAGCCTCCAGCTGCTGCCAGGTGCGACCGTAAATTCACCCTGACTCTGTTGGCCCTTTGGGCTCTCTGGGGTCCCCGGACTCACTCGGGGGCCAGGCCCAGGTCCCCAGCTCAGGCTCAGTCTCGTTGGCCCTCCACCCCTCAGGCCTGATCCACGTGCACAGGCGGAAGATGTTCCAAGCTACAGTCCGCTCAGTGGAAAACCTGCAAAGCAGCAAGTCCACGTGAGGAGGACCACTCCCCCACACACACCTGTCCCTGCCCCTCCTTCCCCAGACCCCGGGGCCCTCCTCCCACATCCTGCCTCCCCTCCCCTTCACCCCCTCAGCCCTCCTATAACTTCCTCTTCTCCCCATCCCCAGCCGGGCCACCATCCTGGTGCGCCTGGACACTGGAGGCCAGGAGGGGCTCCAGTACCAGCCAGGAGACCACATAGGCATCTGCCCGCCCAACCGGCCAGGCCTCGTGGAAGCGCTGCTGAGCCGTGTGGAGGACCCGCCGCCGCCCACCGAGCCTGTGGCAGTGGAACAGCTGGAGAAGGGCAGCCCTGGTGAGGGGTGTGGTCTGGGGCATGACCGTGAGAGCCGCCCCCATCCCTCTGGCCCCAGGGTCCCCTCGGGTTCAGGACCTGGCAGGAGGCTGCCACCTCCACTCACAGCCGGCTGAGCTACATCCTGCCAGGCTGGCCTTGCTGCTGGATAGTCTGCAGAGCGCAGCTCCTTTCTCAGAACCCACCACCACGCCCCACCGCGGCCATCCCCTCCCTCTGGGCTCCTCCCAAAGGCTCCCCCAGGCACCCTAGCCTGCTCTGGAGCTGCCATTGGGTCTACCTTCTGCCGCTCCAATAAGTGGAGTTAAAATAAGCTGTGTGGGGGAGAGGCAGGAACCCAGACCAACCCAATCCAACAGGGACCGTCAAACACACACACACACACACACACACACACACACACACACACACAGAGGCTGCCCGGACAGGCTTACCACCACTGTTCAAGGGCCAGGTCTCAGATAAAACACGATGAGGTGTGGTTAGCCGACGTGGACCCCCAAGAAGCAGTCATCACTCCAGGAAATGCAGTCCAGGCTTGGCCCCTTCCTCAGAGCCCCTCCCCTTGCACCACCCCGCAGGTGGCCCTCCTCCCTGCTGGGTGCGGGACCCCCGGCTGCCCCCGTGCACGCTGCGCCAGGCTCTCACCTTCTTTCTGGACATCACTTCCCCGCCCAGCCCTCAACTTCTTCGACTGCTCAGCACCCTAGCTGAAGAGCCCAGCGAACAGCAGGAGCTTGAGACCCTCAGCCAGGTTGGCCACCTCAGTGGGGAGCAGGGGCCAGTGAGGCAGGATGAGCTGGGGGGAGAGGAACCCACCTGGCTAACAAGTACTGGGGATCTAACAGCCAGCTCTGGAGTTCCTATTCATCTCTGAATTCTCATGCCTTAAAGGGGCACAGAGATGGTGCTCGAGAAATGTTTGTTGGCCTGGACTGAGGAGAGAGAAACCCTCCAGGAGGCTCAGCTCAGGAGGGGTCAAGAAGGAAGGTCAACAGGCAGGGCTAGGAGGTTCCAAGTCCACTGCCTCTGCCCCGACCAGGACCCCCGGCGCTATGAGGAGTGGAAGTGGTTCCGCTGCCCCACGCTGCTGGAGGTGCTGGAGCAGTTTCCATCCGTGGCACTGCCTGCCCCACTGCTCCTCACCCAGCTGCCCCTGCTCCAGCCCCGGTACTACTCGGTCAGTTCAGCACCCAGCGCCCATCCAGGAGAGATCCACCTCACAGTCGCCGTGCTGGCATACAGGACCCAAGGTGAGGCCAGGGAGTTCAGGGCAGGGCCAGGGTCACCCAGTGACCCCGGGATGGACCCCTCACTGGCCCTCTCCCTCCCCACCCCCCTAGATGGGCTGGGTCCCCTGCACTACGGGGTCTGCTCCACATGGCTGAGCCAACTCAAGACTGGAGACCCTGTGCCCTGCTTCATCAGAGGGTAAGTGAGCACTGGGGGGTGGGGTGGGAGGGGCATTGAGAAGAGAGTGCCAGTCCAAGCAGGGGTGGACAGAGTGCCACATGGATGGCCGGGGACAGATGGAGGGATCTCCAGGGATGTACGGAGAGGGGTGGAAATTTTGGTGCGGGGTCTGATTGGTAGCAGGGAGGACCCACTTAACATATCAAGGGTGGGGCATCCAGTTAAACCACTTCAGAACTCTGTCTAAGCTTTGGGTCTTTCACTAATTTGGACCTAGGGTCCTGCCTTGAAACTGCAGCTCCCAGAAACGGGGCTGGGATTGGACCCAGCAGGCCCTGTTCCTTTTAGCAGGTGTACTGTGCCCCTCCCTGCATCCTTGGGGCTGGCCTGATGTTGGCAGGCAGGGTGCCTGGGAATATGCCCCGTCCCCACTTAGCCCAGGGACAACTGGTTAGGCGATGGTAGTATCACTGAGGACTCAAAGCAAGTGCAGGATCCAGGTTACCTTTCCCTCGTGCTGTGTTCAGAAGTCTTGCCCTATCCAGCGCCCAGGAGCTGAAAGTCTCAGGTGGGACTAAGAAGAGTTCCCAGGATGGCACCAGCTAGGCCCAGTGACCCAAACCCATCAGGAAGCTAAACTACAAATAAACTGCCAATCTAGTGCACACAAACCAAATACCAATGCCGGGGCTATGGCTTAAAATTAACACACCCAGTGAACCCATTATGAACCAAAAGGCTCAGTCCTTCTCCTCCTCAAACTTTCTATATCTCTTAAACATCAAAACATTCTTCAGTTCAAGTTTAAGCTGTATTTCCTTTGACCCAGCCTCCAGAAACCACGGGTCCAGAGAGTTTCTGCCTGTAAGCAGTTCCTTTATTAAACACATCATGCTTACTATGAGCTGGACACAAACTCATTTTCAGTGGAAGCTCTCCTCTCCATCCTGCTGAGGTTGATAAGAATGAGGTAGCTAGTGAAGGAAAGGGGGCCTGATAGAAAGTCTCTTTGCTAGGGCTCCCTCCTTCCGGCTGCCACCTGATCCCAGCTTGCCCTGCATCCTGGTGGGCCCTGGCACTGGCATCGCCCCCTTTCGAGGATTTTGGCAGGAGCGGCTGCATGACATTGAGAGCAAAGGTGAGGCTGGGAGCCAAGGGAATGACTGGAAGGTAGGAGGGAGTTACATAATTTAGGGACAAAGGAACACAGGGCTGGAAAGCAGGAACCAGGTAGGAAAGAGGGCAAGGAACAGGGCCACAAAGGTGGAAAGAAGTATATTAGACCAAGGGCACAGTACTGGGGGAAGGGGCCCTAGAGGCAACGGCAGGGCACTGTTGGTCTGGCTTCCTGGTGCCGGGCACAAAGTAGGTGTTGGTGAGATTAAGGACAAAGGGAACTGGAAGTCTGGAGAAGGTGGGGCTCGGACTCAGAAGACAGAAATGCCCCAGGTGGACTCTGTACTGTGCCAGAGGTCACCTACATGTGTCCAAGACCCAAAGAGGCTACAGAGTATTCAGGTTGGGCATAGGGTTCCCAGGGGACTGGTAAATCAAAACAGGGCTGTGACTGAGAGGAAGGAAGACAGTGTGGGAGGACATGGGGTTGGAGCAAGAAAGGGGCTAGACAGTCTCAGACTGCAGTGTCAGTGGTACAAAGGGCATGGATTCTGAGTCAGAAGCCCCAGCTGTAGCACAGTGTCACCACTGGCCATTCCACCAGTGGAAAGTCACCACCTCCTGTGACCTTCGACTTCTCTGTAAATCAGAGTCAGGAAGGGTCTCTGTGAAAGCATCCCGCACTCTCCTGGAGGCCAAACAGCCAAGAGTAGCTGTATCTGCCTGGAAGTTTGGTCTGTCATCCTGGGTGAGGGCAGCCAGTGGGAGGTATCGTTAGGGCTATGTCCCGAGGGAGGAGGGCTCTCCCAAGCCGCAGTGATGCTCGCAGGGCTGCAACCCGCCCCCATGACCTTGGTGTTCGGCTGCCGATGCTCCCAGCTCGACCATCTCTACCGTGACGAGGTGCAGGATGCCCAGCAGCGCGGGGTGTTTGGCCGCGTCCTGACCGCCTTCTCCCGGGAACCCGACAGTCCTAAGGTGCGGGACTCTGAGGACGCTGGGGTAACCCGAAGCTAGGGACAGGAAAAGAACTGACGTGCGCTCCAGCGGAACACAGGGGTCCAGGGTCAGGCCGGCCCCGCCCCCTGCAGTGCTGACCCTCCGCTCACCACTCAGCTTCCACCTAATGGCACTCAGACACCCACCCCAGTTGGCCCCACCCGGCCCCACCCGGCCCTACCCTCGGGCCAAGGCCCCTTCGGTTCTCACCCATCCTAACACAAGCCCCGCCCCTTGTTTGGCTCTGCCTCTCTAAACCCAACCCAAGCGCACCTAGGACCCACCTGGCGCTCCAGCAATCCTTCCACACCCGGGAACTCCCTCCCCGGCACCCCGGTGGCCTGTCCTTCCCTCCCCGGCAGCCCCATCAGTGTCTGCCCCTAATCCCGCCTCCCCTCAGACCTATGTGCAGGACATCTTGCGGACAGAGCTTGCTGCCGAGGTGCATCGCGTCCTCTGCCTCGAGCGGGGCCACATGTTTGTCTGCGGCGATGTCACCATGGCAACCAACGTCCTGCAGACGGTGCAGCGCATCTTGGCAACGGAGGGCGACATGGAGCTGGACGAGGCCGGCGACGTCATCGGCGTGCTGCGGGTGCGGAGGGGCGGGGCCAGATGCGCGGGGGGCGTCCAGCCGGGGACGGGGCCATGCCGGGGGCGGGGCCCATTCCTCACCGAGCTTCTGCCGGGGTCCTGATCCTCCGCCCTCTTTGCCCGCAGGATCAGCAACGCTATCACGAGGACATTTTCGGGCTCACGCTGCGCACCCAGGAGGTGACAAGCCGCATACGCACCCAGAGCTTTTCCTTGCAGGAGCGGCATCTCCGGGGCGCAGTGCCCTGGGCATTCGACCCGCCGGGACCAGACACCCCTGGCTCCTGAGAGCCCGCTTGCTTTCCACTTCAGTTCCCGGAAAGAGGGGCCATCAGTCCACGACGGCGGTGCCGCTCTCCTGTCTGCCGGACCAGGACCAGCCACCTCCCCCGCCCCCTTCCCGAGGTGCCTTCCCACGCCTGTCCAGAGACTGGCCTTATTCCCGGGAATGTCTCTATCTCTCTCTAGGCCTGTTTCCCTAACCCAGGTCTGAGTAAATCTGGAAGGCCCCTCCGAGCAGTGGTGTTCCTGAGCCTACTGTCAGCCCTTTAGTGTTGATTAGGTGAATTTTAGATTCCCCTCATCTCTTTCAGGAAGGAGTATCTTATCTTGAAACCTGATCTCTAAATCATTCAAATATTTATTACTGAAGATTCACCATAAGAGACTGGACCAGAAGTTATGAGAGCTACTAAGATGTGTGACCCAGCACTGTCAATTACAGTTACAGAATGACAAGCTTTGTCTTTTAACTTCTGCAGTGAGAGGGAGGTGGAGGGGGTAATTCTTTGACTGGGAGTCCTGCCCTACACACTCCTCTCTGACCCAGCCCTCTAAAAACATGGTTTCCAGCCAATTACGGGCAATTCTGTTGTGTCGCTCCTTTGATCTTGACTGAGAAGCAGATGCAGCCCTCAGCTACCAGGAGTGGGGATTCCAGGCACTAAGGTCACAAACATGTGCACAGCCAGGAGTAACCTTTACTGCTTGTTTCAGACAGGATGAGAAACCACACCCACTTCCTCAGGCGTCACACCAAGGCTGAACTCCAAAAACAGCAGGCCTCCCTAGAGGCTTTCCACTCACCCACCCCCATCGCCCTCCACGAGTCCCAGGGGAACCTGAAGGCCAGGCGAGCTTGAAGAACCTACTGCCTTTCAGATCCAGTCCCTCATTGCTCCCTTCTGTGTAGCTTGGCCTCCACCTTGGCCCAGCCCTCCATGTTGAGGTCACTCGGGAACTTCTTCCCAGGCAACCACTCCAGGACAAATAGTTGTCCCCTTTGCCCCTCCATGTGGGCTCTAACATGTGTTTCCAGCTGCCTTGGGCATCTCCTCTCCTACCCTTTCTCTGCTCTCTGGGGCCAGGGCGTCACTGACTCCAAGTCCTGCCCAAATCCCCAACTAAAGCGTCCATGGGGGTCTTTAAGGGGGGCTTGGCACGTCCTTCCACTCCAGTTCGTCTGATCTCCTGGGGCTGGAGAAGCCAGGAAACCTGGAGAAGGAGAAAGCTCTTTGCAAACAGTCCAGGGGTTTGGGTTCCCGGATTCCCATCCCTCCAAGTCTGACTCCACCCGATTCCCTACTCATTCCCTCATGCCAGTTAGGTAATACTGACCTTAAGGAGCCCTCTCAGTCAATGCTAGGGGCCTGGCTAGGTTCCTTCTGCGTGTCTGTGGGCTCCTGAAACCCTCCAGGGAACAGATTCTGGGCCCTCTGGGTTCTCCACTGCTGTCTGGGGCTGGAGGCGGGACTGGAGCCTGATGAGAAATCCATCAGCTGGGCAGTGCCATGATGCCTGCTGCTCACCCAGAGTCTGTCCCCTGCACACCCCGACCACCTCACCATCACTCGACCAGGAAGGCTTCTCCTCATCCGGCGAGAGAGTCTGTGGGGGGCTGGACCAGGGCCTGGACAGGGAGGAGGCTGAAGCCTCCCCCCACAGTTCTTGCTGCTGCTGCTGCTGATGGAGCTAAAAGGAAGGGAGAAGAATGAGGGGTTCCCTTCTGCCCAGCAGCGTGAGGCCCAGCCCCTAGGCTACGTACAGAGGGTGCTGAAACCTCCTACCCAGCTCCTGTTGGATAATTTCTTACACTCCAGCCCCCTCCACAGTCTCCATTTGTTTTGAGGCTTTCTCCCCATCTATCTCGCATCCCTCTACTCACCTGGTATAGGTAGATGGCATGGAGACTCATCTCAGCAGATGCAAGTTCTGGGAGCTGGGCCAGCTTCTGGCCCCCAGTGCCTCCTGGGGACACACAGCTGAAACAGAAGGTGCAATAGATCAGAAAGACATGCCCTTTCCCCCCTGCACTCCACAAGGAACGTCAGGCTTTATCTCCTCGTCCTGCTCAGCCCCCCAGTACCCCTGCATTGGTCAGCCCCACCACCCCTGACCCCTGCATCTCAAGTCCCCACCCCTCACCTTGAGTCCTGGGCAATTCGGGAAATGGAGGCCAGGAGGCTGGCTGTGGCTGCAGCTGGGCAAGGGGCTGTGGGGCTCAGGTCCTGTGGGGGCAGGAGGGGCTGCACCAAGAGGTTGGCCAGGAAGGTCTCCGGCTGGGAGCAAGAGAAGAGAGGGTCAGAAGAGAGGACAGAAGGGGAGGGAGGAGGGCTAAGTAAGGTGGGAGAGCAGGCTGAACGAGTGAGTAGGTTAATGCAAAAGGTGAGGCTGAGGGAGGAGAGAGGAGGGGAGGGGAGAGGAGGGGGCAGGGTGTGAAGGTGGAAGGGCAAACCAAGCTTCAACTCACCAGAGGTGAGGAAGAGTTGCTGAGGACCCCGGGGGTGGGGGGACTGCGAATGGAGTTGGCGCCCCAGGTGGCTGCATCTTGTTGTACCCGGCCTCGAAGGTGCCCTAGGAACTTGGAGCTGTGGCCTGGGGGGCGCCATTGTGGATGAACTAGGGAGAACCTCATCAAGGACAGTTCAGTCTTCCCATCCTCGGCACGCTGAGATAGTGAGGCCTCTGTCTGTCCCTCCGAGAGCCACTGAAAGCAACGACAATCCTTCAAGTGCCGCGAACACTGCTTGTATACCTGCAGTGGGTGCCTCGTGGGGTGGGCAGGATGGAAGACAATAGCCCCATTTTCCAGGTGAAAGGATGGAGGTCACAATGGGGACTTGCTCAAGATCACCCAAAAACACAGCAGCAGAGCAGAACTTGGGTCCAGATCCAGCACTGGGATGTAGGCTCAATGTTCTGCCAGCAGGTGCACACTGGATGCCAGGGCCTGCCTTACAGCTTTGGTCAGGAAACCCATCCTTACTCCAGCCCCATCCACTGATCAACCTGTTTTCCAGCCATTCTAGCGGTCTTGGCTCCCATTTACTGGTGTCAGGATGTGCTGGAACTCTGTTAGGCTTTATACACGTCATCTCATGTAATCCTCATGATAGCCCTGCACGTCGGTCACTGTCCTCGTTTGACAAACGAGGGCATTAGGTACAGGGAAGTGAGGTGATTAGCTCAAGGTCACAGGTGGCAAGCCATGGAGCTGGGGGTGGAACCCAGCTCTGCTTTGAGTGAGGCAAGCAAACTCCTACCTAACCACAACCCGGCACAGCCAGGGAAAGGCTCTAACCTGAGGGTGGCCGTGGCGCTTCACATCCATAAGGGCAAAGGAACAGATGTCTCCAACCCCGGCCACATCCACAGTGAAGTGATGAAAAAAGTCAATAATCTCCAAGGCGCGAGGGCGGAACCAGAAGAGCAGAAACAGTGGGGTGAGGAGAGGGGACAGGAGCTCCTCCGTGAGGGAGACCTGGAGAAGCAGGGGCGAGGCTGAGAAGGGGTTGCTGAGGGCAACCACACTAGCCAGGCAGGAAACCTCCAACTCCGTCATTCCGTCTTTCCCAGACTCCCGGGATAGCCAGCCCTGAGCCCGTTTGTCCCCGCCCTCTCCCAGACCTCGAGGTTTACACAGCCTCCTCGGCAGCCCCATTTCAGCCTGGACCCTCACCGCTCGGTACTGCAACAGCCGCGCCATCTGCCGGTAAGCGCTGGCCTTGCCGGCAGGGCCGGTCTCCTCCGGCAGGTAGTGCATGTGGGCCAAGGCCGCCTGCAGCAGGAGCTGCGGTGAACGACTTTGGGCCTGCTCATCCGGAATGAAAGACCTAGAGGGCGGCATCGGGGTGGAGAAGGGGCCGGCGAGTAAAGAGGATGTGCGGGTGGGATGCATTAGCGGTGGGAGGGGTAGAGATTCGCGAGAGGTTCAGCCCCAGGCCGGAAGAACGCCCCCCTCCCTGGGCATCTCCCACCACACCTGGCCACGGTGGCCAGGATCCCGAGGGCAGTCATGGCAGTGAGCACGTGCTCCACGGCGAGCACATCCTCGTCGTAGACGGTGAGCACCAGCAACGCGGCGAAGAGCGCGCCGGCGAAGAAGACGAGCTGGCGGGCCAGCAGCGCGAGCAGGGGCG